TTTTATAGAATCAGATTTATAGAATCAGTTTTATAGAATCAGTTTTATAGAATCAGATTTATAGAATCAGTTTTATAGAATCAGATTTATAGAATCAGTTTTATAGAATCAGATTTATAGAATCAGATTTATAGAATCAGTTTTACAGATTCAGTTTTATAGAATCAGTTTTACAGATTCAGTTTTATAGATCAGTTTTACAGATTCAGTTTTATAGAATCAGTTTTACAGATTCAGTTTTACAGATTCAATTTTATAGAATCAGATTTATAGAATCAGTTTTATAGAATCAGATTTATAGAATCAGTTTTATAGAATCAGATTTATAGAATCAGTTTTATAGAATCAGTTTTATAGAATCAGTTTTATAGAATCAGTTTTATAGAATCAGTTTTATAGAATCAGTTTTATAGAATCAGTTTTATAGAATCAGATTTATAGAATCAGTTTTATAGAATCAGATTTATAGAATCAGTTTTATAGAATCAGATTTATAGAATCAGATTTATAGAATCAGTTTTACAGATTCAGTTTTATAGAATCAGTTTTACAGATTCAGTTTTATAGATCAGTTTTACAGATTCAGTTTTATAGAATCAGTTTTACAGATTCAGTTTTACAGATTCAATTTTATAGAATCAGATTTATAGAATCAGTTTTATAGAATCAGATTTATAGAATCAGTTTTATAGAATCAGATTTATAGAATCAGTTTTATAGAATCAGTTTTATAGAATCAGTTTTATAGAATCAGTTTTATAGAATCACAAAATATCTTAGTCATTTATAGAATCAGTTTTATAGAATCAGTTTTATAGAATCAGTTTTATAGAATCAGTTTTATAGAATCAGTTTTATAGAATCAGATTTATAGAATCAGTTTTATAGAATCAGTTTTATAGAATCAGTTTTATAGAATCAGATTTATAGAATCAGTTTTATAGAATCAGATTTATAGAATCAGTTTTATAGAATCAGATTTATAGAATCAGATTTATAGAATCAGTTTTACAGATTCAGTTTTATAGAATCAGTTTTACAGATTCAGTTTTATAGATCAGTTTTACAGATTCAGTTTTATAGAATCAGTTTTACAGATTCAGTTTTACAGATTCAATTTTATAGAATCAGATTTATAGAATCAGTTTTATAGAATCAGATTTATAGAATCAGTTTTATAGAATCAGATTTATAGAATCAGTTTTATAGAATCAGTTTTATAGAATCAGTTTTATAGAATCAGTTTTATAGAATCAGTTTTATAGAATCAGATTTATAGAATCAGTTTTATAGAATCAGATTTATAGAATCAGTTTTATAGAATCAGATTTATAGAATCAGATTTATAGAATCAGTTTTACAGATTCAGTTTTATAGAATCAGTTTTATAGAATCAGATTTATAGAATCAGTTTTATAGAATCAGATTTATAGAATCAGTTTTACAGATTCAGTTTTACAGATTCAATTTTATAGAATCAGTTTTATAGAATCAGTTTTATAGAATCAGTTTTATAGAATCAGTTTTATAGAATCAGATTGATAGAATCAGTTTTATAGAATCAGTTTTATAAAATTTGGTTTTACAAACGTCAAAAAAACCCAACTAAACTAACACCAGCAATACAATATTTAACACTTTATTTTTAAAATCCCCAAAGTCCGAGCACTCTGCCGTTGCAAACTTTTGTTGTTGCGACAATTATGTTTTATACATATTTTGAACATTGACCTTTGAACTTTGACCTTTGGGACCCATTTGGGGTCAGGGTCATGTGTTTGTGGGTTCAAGCCTGGTGTTTAACACATCAGCAGTGCCGTCCCGTTATTGGTGGGAATACGTCACATTTATCCAAGGTTATTGTTTTTGAATTACCTTTTTTAAACACAGTACTTTAATATTAATTATTTTGTACCGTTGACTGGAGAAGACCTGACTCAATGAACGGAGCTACACGCATGCCATCCTTTAACCCAGCGGTTCTCAACCTGTAGGTCGCGACCCCTGTGTGGATCGCGGGACCCTTTTCCACGTCTCGCCTAAGACCATCTGAAAACATATACCCTTACAGCTATGAAGTAGCAACGAAAATACCTGTGTGGCTGGGGGGTCGCCACGACACGATAAACTGTATTAAGGGGTCGCGGCACTAGAAAGGTTGAGAACCACTGCTTTAACGCAAGACTGAATGGCGGAGATTTCTTAGTGTGGCTCAGATCATCCGTTTGTTTGAAATGTGCATAGCTGTATTGGCAAACTTGCTGCAGTCTTTGAAATTATTGTATAATCTTTGTATTTAATAGCAGATAGTGGGGCCCCTTTTTTGGCGGAAGGGGGGGTGGTGGAAAAAGTGTGGGGGTGGGGGGAATAGCGACTGGCATGATCCTTTAAAGTTTGTGATTTCGTTGACAACAGAACTCTTCTCTGATAAATACTTCAATAAAATATTATTATCAAAACAATAAACGTCCACTTACAAGTTAAAGAAGAAAAATAAACCATCTATCGCTGTAGCCCTTAACCCCCCAACCCCCCTGACGCCCACTTTTTCTTTTACTGTAGCGCCCCCTAGCGCCCACTATTAAGGCTAATAAAAATTACGTGCCTAAATGCAGGAGAACTTGTATTCACACCAATGAAAATTGGATTCCCTCAATTATATGTTTGACCAGGGTTATGTTTGTTCTTAGCAACACCCGTTTCCACCCCCCTCCATGTCCCCCCACACACACTCCACCCCACCCCCTTACTTCCTCCAACAGTCCACAGTGTCAACTAGCCTCCTCCACCCCCTCACCCCCCACACCCCTTGTGAGTACCCGCTACATTGATCACACGTGACCAAGCCGAAATGAAATTAAGCGAGCAAATATTTGACCAGACACGGGGAACAGAGGGGCGAGCTGGAAGGGGGGGGGGTGGTGGAGAGGGGGGCCAAAAAACAACACTCACTGGACGCCCCACGTTTTCATTGATAACCATTTTTTTTTCGTCGTTTGTAATTAAAATATGTTTTACTTTCTGGCACTCCGGCGGACCCAGGCGATGTTTCGGAATAACAGAACGCCACACTTTTGAACACCCTTAAAAACAGTGCTTTTTTTTTTG